CATCAATTCTAAATCGGCACGACTTGGTTGGAATGCACACTTCAACAGCTGGTCGAGCGGGCCTATGCCCATGGATCTCAGCTATGCTCAGGACGAGGGGGCAGAGCTCCGGGCAGCACGCAAACACACGACGGTGTTTTGTCTGTGAAGACAGCCATCGCCCCAACGCCTACCAGTCTGGTTCGTTGCGGGGAAGCGACACCACTCAGTAGGCGCGGGTCGATCTACTGGGGAAGAACTGAGTTCTGTTGAGCCTCAGTGAGGTAAGGTCAGCAGAGCCCAGCCCCGAAGAGCTCCGTGCTCTTGAACTTGGAACGTGTATGTAAGCCGGGCTTGCTAGTGACCGTAAAGGGCTTCGAAAGCGCGGTTGGGTGAAATCGTCACTGTTCGCCTAGCGACGGGGGCACGTGTCACGGTCCGGAAAGTCCCTGTGGACCTCGGAATCAAGATTCTTGACTTTGATAGCGTGGAACGCTGTCTAGTCTTAGACTTGCATGCAAGGTATGACCTCATCATAGGAATGGCATGGTTGGAACACCATGCGCCATGGATTGATTGGAGGTCAAAGACATTGGGCGCTACGCGCACGTCTCTTGGTGGAGCTTTGGCGAGTCATGAACCCACCTTTGCTAGGAGACAAAAGCACTATTGGCGAAAGCACTGGACCTGAGACGATCAACATGCTGGACATTGGAATGTCCGAGTTGGTAGACACCAACAGTGTATCGGACAGAAGTCCCGAGTGTGGCTTGCGGGCTAATCGTGGAGTGGCACGTAACCCACTGAGCGGTGTTCAGTTTCGGAGCAGTCGCTGCATGTCATGCGTGACAGGGTCGGCCAAGGGCCGAGGCATCGAGGGCGAGGCCCCCGTGATGCACGGGAAGTGGCACGAGAACCACTGAGCACTGCTCTCGTTGCGTAGCAGTCGCTGCACGCCATTGATGGCGTGGTCGGACAGAGTCCGAGACATCTTGGGCACGGCCCTTCAGATGCCCGTGAAGTGGCACGTTATCCACTGGACGAAGACTGCGGGTGTTGGCAGTTCTTCGTCGAATCTTGTAGAGAACATCGGAGCTCCAAAGGAGCGGACACACCAAACGTTGCGGAATGCGTGTTCACCCTGGTCTCACCGTGATATGGAACCTCTGTACAGAGGCGACGGCGAGGGCGACGCCGTATGCTGGCTGCAAGACGCCGGACGTCGACCCTGATCCAGGGTGTGTCAACCGTTGACGATGGTGCACAGTTATACACCCTCGTCAACGGTATTATGGGGGAGGAAGATGGCGACGACCGCCTCGAGGCTATGCCAGCAGTAGATGCTCTTCTTGAGCTGGTCGAGATGTCCCTTGAAGTGTTCGGCAGTGCCTTGAAGGCAGGCGATTTGGCCAATGTTGTCATTGTACTACCGGACGAGGAGATAAACTCGTCATCGCTTCTGGATGAAGCTGTCTTGGAGGATACCAAGAGAGTGCTGAACGCACGAAGTGGATTGTCGATCCTACGGAATCCCTTGGATCCGTACTATCCTTTGGTAAAGGAATTTCTAGACATCGTCTCCAAAGACCCGCTTTCGGTCGTACCTCCGGACCGAGGTGTGCGTCATGAGATCGACCTGGTTCCGGAAACCAAATACTG